ACTTTTTGTGATTTGCACGCCATAATGGTAATAATATGGAAAACTAAATTGCCACTGAAATGCTTATATTGCACAAAAATAGAATTCTAATTAACAGCAGAACGAAACTTCAGTAATTCAAAGAGTTTGCTTGCACAAGCTGAGTAAACTAGCAAATACCATTGTAATTTACAATTATTCATATATATTTTGTAAGCTTATACAAATATTACAGGTTCCAAGACACAGTACTCTGTGAATAATCAACATAGAAATAAAATAGCTATACAACTAAGAAGTAAATGAAACAGAAATAAGAAGCTGATGCAAGGAAATTTCCCAGACATGGTATCATTTGATCCTCCATAGGAGCAACAATTGTTTTTACTAAGGTGGTCCAACAGATAAGCTGAAATGGTCAGCAAGCAGATTAATGTTTTCCCCCATTAAGTCCTCTAAAGCCATGCTTACAGAGGAAACTCTGGCAAAACCACATGGAAGAAATGGATATGTCCAAAACAGATTTTTTTTCATAGTTTGAAGCAAATAAAAAAAATGCTGGTATCCCAATGGCTTAGCTGTGTTAATATGCACCACTTTGGCAAATAAAAGGTTCCTGGCATATCAGCCCTTCACAGTTAAGTACATTCACAAAAGCAAATTTCTAGTGTAATCTTTTTTAAAAGACATAATGAAAAACAAATGCTAGCTGGTTTGAAATTCTTTGGCTAAGCCTGTTATGTTTTTAAATCCACCAAGTGTTACATTAAGGAAACTTCACAGAATCTTCCTCCTCTCCTTAATCTTAGACACTGACAATTTGATCAAAACATGTTTGAACAGGATTACTTTGTAAACACCTTCATTAGTGAAACATTTATTGTAATACGTAATATCTTCATCTGAACTATGACTGTGCTAATAAAAACTGAATTAGCATAAGTGCTAGTCTGAACTTCAGTAAAGAATAAAAATGATTTTGTTCTGTAGATAAGTACACAAGAAACATGCTGAACAAATAGTGACTGTTGGTATTTTTTTAAACAAACGCTTTATAGAGGATAGAAACAGTACTAAGAAAAGCAGACTTGGCAATACACCTCCAAATCCCGGAAAGCAGATCTGAGTTACAGTGAGCCCTCGCTACTTCGCGGTTCGACCATCGCGGATTCACGACTTCGCGGACTTTTTTCATTACGTATGTATATATTATAAAAGAAATATATCGCGGATTTAAAAGTTTTAAAACTTTTAAAAGTCTGAATATACATGTTAAATAAATACGTAAATATGGTGTCCCTACTTCGCGGATTTTCAGCTATCGCGGTCGGGTTTGGAACCTATCTACCGCGATAAACGAGGGTTCACTGTAGTCCATAAAAGAAAAAAAGATTTTTTAAAAGAAATTCCTGGCCTTAAACTTAAATACATAAGCACACAACGTAGAATATAATTTCTTCCCCAGTAGTATGGGATTTAAGCAGAACTAGGAGCAACAAAATACTTCAGTCTCTGTCACAATGTAGCAACAAAGTCTCAAAGCAAATTGGATTGTGAGAGATATTGCCAATGAAAAAGTGCAATATAAAAATGATCCTATTATACAGATGAAAAAAAAAAGGGATTTATTTCTAGGGCAGCAGGACATTTCTTTGTCTATGTACTTTTTATAGTTCTCATCACTGTTTCAGTGACTAGGATGCATAGTCTTAGGCAATTTAAATTTCAGTTTAGAGCAGGGTTTCCCAACCTATTGGTCAGGATCCAAATATGGGTCATCATTACATTTCAAAAGGGTTGCCAAGTGCCTCCCCAGGGGGCACTGCCCTCCCTCCTCCCCATTTTTGAATTGCCTTGGGTCATCAAGTCTTCCTGAATTGTCAAAATGGGTCTCCCTCTGGAAAAGGTTGGGAACTGCTGGTTTAGAGGCACTGTAATTTGATTGCTAACCTATATGAACTGTTTTTGGCAGAGGCCAGCTACCCATTTGTCCTTGCTTCTCTTCTGGCCTATACAGGGGGTGGATCCTGGGTACCTCCTTCCTGACCTTGCTGAGAAATGGTATTAGTATGTCTTGGAGATGAAAAATTCCTATTTCTGCATACACAGGTTGAATAAGAGGAAATGCACATATGGGACAGACTTTTGGTTTCCTTCCCATGCTAGAGACTTGCTGTAGTTGCAAGATAAAAACATGCTGCAGTACCTCAAAGGAAGAAAGTGCAAGCTCAACAAATATCCCCTAGGCTAGGGTTGGGGAACCTTTTTTGGGTCAGGACCGCTGACTCACAGAAAAATCAGTTGGAGGCCAGGGGCTGTAGGGAGGCTGGAATGCCAGCATGGGCTCCCCGATGCTGGGGGAAACCCTAAGCCTCTGGGACCAGAGCCAGGCAAACCAGGGGTTGCATCCAGCTCCTGGACTTAGGTTCCCCACCCGTGCCCTAGGCACTCCTGAGAATACTATTCTATTTGCTGAAATGTGTCCAATATCAAGAGAAACTTAGACTCTGTTTGTAATTGACTAGTTTGGCCTCTCAAACTGTAAACACCTTGAAGATCCCAGTAAGGATCTGTGGACCTGCCTCTGCCAAAGAACATTTGCCTTGCAGTCCTGTCCTATAACTCACTGGACAATGCTTACTCTCTTCCCTTATTCAACTTACAAGCCAAATCCTTAGCTACTGTAAATTGCCCTAACTCTACTGAAGTCAATGAAGCTCTGAGCTAAGGCTCTGTCTGTTAGCATATTTGTTGATACCTGTCTCCTAAATGGTTCACATCCCTATTTTGCCTAGCATAAACAGACAGTGTGGGAAAAAAAAGATAATTAACGGAAAATGACAAATCTAATTTATTGTAGCATCCAGAATACCAACCAGCATCAGGACAAGTGTTCCCTCTAAGCTGTGGGGCAGCACAGCTTCACAGGTGATTAATCAGCCTCACCCAGTAAGAAGCTCAGAGCTCCTGCATGAAGCTGACTGACTGGGTGGGGCTGATTAATCACCTGTGAAGCTGCTCTGCCCCACAGCTTAGAGGAAACACTGATCAGGAACCATTGTAATAGATCCTGTCTAAATGTACACAACAACATGGTCCCTGTCCAAAATACCTTACCAGCCTACAAGGCAGTGACATACGAAGGGTCATATGGGAAAGAGGTATACAATCAAGAGGTATACACACAGTTTTTGTACATTTACATAAAATGGAGACAGCTAACTCCATCTGCACCTCAACTTAGACATCACTAGAAACAACTGATTTCTTATCAGTATTGTGGCAGAGATAGGTCTGGAAGCAGCATTTAGAGGAAAAGGTGGCTATTGGATTGTGGCTATTGGATACCACTTCTAATTGCCTGACTTAGAGCACATCATCGTCCAAGATAATTTAAAGCTCAGGAGTGCAGCTCATCTAGATCTTAAATCCCTAATTACTGGGAACCATGCAGGGAAGAGGTCTTGCTTCTGCCGAGTTATGCAAGCGAGTACCAAATGGGACTATTCATGTGCGTAACTCTTTGCAGGGTTCTAATTATGCACATGACTAGTCTATGTAGTCATGAGCTCCTCTCACTGTTGCTCTTATCCCCAATGCCCATCCTTTCCCTTCCAATTTTTTGTTGCATCTTGTCTTTAATTAGTAAACTGTTCAGGGCAGAGACAGTTTTTAAGCCGTGGGTTCCCACAGGATCCAGACATAGCGAGGCCCTGATCCTAATAGAATACTACTGTTATACCAAAATAGTTATCTATATTTAGTTCTATCAGATATTCTCACACCAGCGCTATTTACCCTGTCTTTGTGGCCTCCAAGTGTTGTCACTAATAATTTCCTTGCTTTCCACACAAGGATCTCAGATATCCTTTCAATAATTATCCCTTTCATTGGAAGCCTAGCAAAATGAGCTGGTTTTAACATTTCAGCATTTTAAACTTCTCCAGTTTCTATATTGACAAGTTGCTTTAATTTGTGTGTTGGAATTGTTCACATCCAAGCTTTGTAGGAGGAAGCTGTGTGATAACATCAGCTTTTGTTTCTTTAGTAAGGATAACTGGAACTCAAGCTGCAGCAGATGGTAACCCTATGAGAGAAAGTTAAAGGTCTTCCAGATAATTTAGAACAGTCTAATTTTAGGACTGTTCCTGGTGGCAAGGAAAATTAACAGCTGTATAAATGAGTGTTTCCAATCTAAGTTGGATGCACAATACTTAAGATATTATAGCTTTTTTGTGGAAAGGAATCAAGCAAGTAATATAATCAGAATTTTAATGCATAGCAAGATGGTGATGACACACTGACATTACTTTCCTGTTTAGAAGAGGGCAATTTTAGACTTAATTGGAATCACATGACAATTCATACAGTTAAAATGACTGTCTGGTTTATAGCCATATTAACTGAATTTGTAAGAAACACTTTCTTTTTATTGATAACTAAAAGGTTTACCCAGTGTTGCTTGGATCCCTAACTCACTATCAGGAGACCTGGCAGGGATCCTTTTCCGGATGCAGGGCTCCCCTGACTCCTGACTCCAAGGCCAGATCCGGGGTTGCCAGGATTCCACTGCCCTAGGGCAAGCCCGGGCTGCTGAAACTCCTGGCTCTGTTCCTTGCCCCATGGCTCCTACAGCTCTGTGATTCAGGGACTCTTTGGTCCATCCACATCTGTGGTCTGGCATGGGTTCAACCTCTATTTGAAGTAAAATGTTTCAGGTATTCTATATGTGGATTCATTTTTCACTAGTCTCTTAGAATATTTAGCCACAAGCCTCCTACCTGAGATTGTCAATTAAAGGGTCTAACGAAGGTTTTTTTTTTAAACCTCACAAATATTATGAAAAGAGATACTTATGTTTTATTATGAAAATCACACCACTCTCTGAAACACAGTATCTGCCCTAACAGATCTTGTAATACTGTAATTGTCATCTAAAAACAAGCAAAAGAGAATTAAGTTCAATTGTATGTGTTTTGGACATTTTATTTTTGGTCCAATAAATAATATACAAGAATGACTAGATTTCTTCACTCTTTATTACAAAAAGGGACAATAATTAAGAATTTAATAATCAGAGCTGACATTTATTTTACATTTCTGTCACCCAAAAGAAAAGTTTATGATCTCCACCAACTGCACATAATGGAAGACTCCTATGCCAGGTCAAACCAGATCCTACAGCTGCAGAGCCAATAAGAATGGGCTACAAAATAAAAATAAAAGGACTTTTTTCAATATATATCATCATACTGATATTCACTAAACCAGAGCTAAATATGCAATCACAAATTCTATAGGAAACTAAAATATAAACCTTTTGCCAACAAAACAAAACAAGAAACAACCCCCCCCAACACACCATTCCTTTAAAAAGAATATTTAAATTAAAAATGTCAGTGCACGCTATCTATTTCTGTGAGCTATTGTACGTAGCGTTAAGATAAGATACTGCAAAAGGTTCTACAGTAGAATCTTTGTGGAGTATCTAAAAAAGCTGTCTCCATACATCTCAATGACTTTGGCAAAATCTGCTTTTGTGCATGATTAAAATTAGGATGCTTGAAACTTTAAAAGCAATATGGTTTGTGTCTCCGAGGCAATGAAAATCTGCCTAATATAAAAGCGACAAGGAAGCCTGTGGCACCTTATAGACTAACAGACTTATTGGAGCATAAGCTTTTGTGGGCAAAGACCTACTTTGTCAGCTTATGCTCCAATAAATCTGTTAGTCTATAAAGGTGCCACAGGACTCCTTGTCGCTTTTGCAGATCCAGACTAACAAGGTTACCCCTCTGATACTTGCCTAATATAAAACTTTCTTTCCTTTGTGCTATTAGAGAATTGAAGTGGAATACATTTGAATTATAAAATGCTATAGGACTTCGTATAGGTTATTTCGTTTTTATTTGCATTCTGCAACTCAGAAGTGGTATGATTCAAATTGCCTTAATAAAGCAAATACAATTCATTGAAATGATGGAAAGAACAAAGGTCAACTGATTCTCATTCCTCTTGCAATTGCACAAAAAGTTATGTGTGGCATATGCTCACTTGATTTGACAAATGATACTTGCTTAGCACTTCAAAAGGCACAATTTATTCTTCTCCTACCATTCTTCCCAATATTATACCTTGGAATATTATTTCTCAAGCCTCAACTTGTTAATCGGTTCAGTAACACAGATGTGACAAAAAGCCACTACAGTTAATCATCTGATTGTGTTTAAAAACTAGGATTGTCTAATTTGTTCTTGAGCCTTTAATACTACTACTAATTATACTGCTACTAATACTTGGGAACAGAGAATGCCACATGTTAATTAGAAAAGACAAAAAAGAAAGCATCTCCTTATAACAATTTTATTTTTACACATTTACTTAAAATTCTCGGTGTTCTGGAAGCTTATCTAATATATAAAGAAGAATGTGCGCTAATAACTTGGACACTATAAGAGCTATTGCAGCCAAACTTTGCATGGGGTAACCTTTCATACAGGACAAGGTTTTAAGGGAGTGTGGGAGGGAAGAGATGAGATACCAACGCCTCTCCCCAGGGCTGCATGGAGCTTGGCAGAGCGGGAAGAAGTGGCTTCCCGGGGGAAGTGGCAGGGCCAGTCACTCATTAAGGCCGGTGGAGGGACAAGGAAGCGGAGGGTGGGCTTGGGCGCCGGCGGCAGGCACACGGCTCCCTTCCTCTCCCTGCCCTCAGGCTCCTCACCTCAGTTATATCAACTGTCAACTTATATTTCAACAATGTATACTGACAAAGAGCAAGGACAGTTACTTAAAGTAGTTGGAATTGATTTGAAGACATCTTGCTTTTCACATGGACAACTCTATGTTGCGTGCTCAAGAGTTGGAAGTGGAAAAAAATTGTACATATTTGTTAAGAATAATGAAACAAAAAAATATAGTTTACAATATAATTTTTGATAACATGTAAAATTGGTTGTTTTATACTTTTTTAAAATATATTTTAATCTCTAAAGAACTCAGTGCAACTTTTCTACCATTCAAAAACGATAATGGACAACCGTTTTTCTAAATTTTGTTCCTCCACTTTCCTGAGCAACGCCGGGTAACTCCCGCTAGTTTTAAATAAAATGAAGTATCAGAAATCCCTGATTTAGCCTTATTATAATTAAACTTAAAAAAAAGTGTTAAATCAGGAGTTGAGAGTATTTTTTGGTAAATAGAAAATAGAGTTATTTTTCTGGCATGGAAAAAGATTATGTAGTAACAGTTTCTAGATGATCTTGATGAATTTTTAAAGGTATAGAAGTTTATAAATGGATTTAAAGAGATCCAACACAAAACACAGAATTGTACTATTTTACCTGAGGGTGTCCTAAATGATGAACTAGAAGCTGACTAGTCATCTTTCCTGGATATCCAGTGGTTGCAAACAAGTTTTCATTCACTTTGGACCACCTATGAATAAATCAAAGGTGCTCTTAAAATGTGTTAGACAATCATGAGCAAGTGCAAAACTGATTTTTTTGTCTGCAGTTAAATATTGTCTGTAGCTATCATAAATTCTGCTCAAATCTGTGAAATACATGCACAGAGATGTTTTATTTTTAAGACACACTCTATTCAATCCTAACTACGTCTTAAAAATTAATTAATTAATGTGCTATACATTAAGGACCCTACTCCTGCCAAGTCTCAATCACTCTCAACACCCATTGAGATTATAACCTTGCAGAATGGGACCATCTAAAAGCCAACCGTCTATTGATGGAAAGAAGACACAAATGTGGGAAGGAATTGGGACCCCAATCTCAAAATTGTATATGCGAAAGCAGACCCTTACACTTGTGCAGAGCCTCACTGATTAGCAACAAATGAATGGTCACATTCTTTCACTTTGTAGCAATGCTGTACTAGAAGATATCACACACTGTAGGCATTACTAGAAACAATAAATAACACTTGGTAAAATTACATTATAAAAATGATCAGGATATCAACATAATTTTTCTTCACATTAATTTAATGAGCGCCCCTCAAAATCATACCTGAATAATCGGGCTCGATCCACATGGACAGGTCTTTTATCTTGTGGATAACTATAAAAATACATTTTAAATAAGCATCCATTCCACACACTATAGGAAATGACACACTTCATTTCATATAACAAGGACAAAGAGAACAGATTATTTTAAAAAGTGGCTGGTTCAAGTTGTGGGGTGGGAAAACATCCACTGACAGACAAAAACAATCAGGTCATGTTTTATATTGTTTTCCACATGCAAGTCTTGAGAGATTAAAATTTTACAGCTGGATGAGAGGAAAGGGGGAAATATGGAAACTACAAAAGCCCTCAAAAAAGAATTTTTACCAACTTTCTTCAGGCCATACTGAGTTGGTCTTGTGGATGGTAGTTGTAGTTTGTCATAGAAACTAAAAAATATTCCCAGTTTTCTTAGTGTCTACACCCTAGAAGAAGCCTCAATATAGTAAATTTACAAAAAAATTATGCAGTGAAGCAGTTTGGGTTGCTACATATATATCAAGCCTGATATAAAGCAAGGAATTAAAAAGTTAAACCACCTAGGAGTACACATCCCTTATCTTTCCACACACAAATACACCCTAGTACCGCAATTATGATGTGCATAAGACAATGCACTACCACTTTTTATTCTGCCCCATTGTCACCATTTCTGCATGCTCCCTTTTAACCAGATTATTTTCTCCCTCTACCATACCCAGGGAGTATTAGGAGAGGGTATTAGGAGAGGCTGTGTTAGGAGAGGGTAGTTTGGAAAAAGGTTAATTAAAGGGGGTGAGCCTTTGAGGGGCTGTAATTATGCCCTGCAGTGGCACGCAGTGGCGAAGATAATCTAATGTGTTTTTAAAAAAATCATCAAATGAGACCACACGAACTAAAATGGGAGCTCCTAACCACTTTTAATTTCTTTGTTAAAAGCTAAGCCTCTGGGGTGACTGAGGATCTAAAAAGCAGACTGTAGCATGGTACCCAGGAGACTGGGGATAGGAGATCGGGAGAAAGAACACAAGGCCTACCAACTTGTATGAAGCAAATGTTATATTTATTCAAGATGATACATGCTTAGGCATTTGTTAATTTAACCCTTTTCTCTCTGATTGTCATATACCTATGGATTAACAAACAATACTTTGTTTTGAAGGAGCTGTATTTACCTGCTGGTTACAGATACTGAAAAGAAGTTGACAGCAGGACTCAAAACAGTTGGTTTTGGTGAGACAACGTAATAGATGAAGATCAGTGATTCAGTCTAAGAGTACTTTTACACTGCATGGCTATTTCAGGATACCTGCAGTCTACACAAGACACCGGTTATTTCGAAATATTTTTCTAAATAATGGGTGTGCTATTTCAGCATCCAGTAATCCTCATTCTATGAGTGTTAAGGGATGTCTCGAAATAGCACGTTATTTTGAAATTTGGCACTGTGTAGATGTGCCAAATAGATTCAAGATAAGATGCGTAGTGCAAATTGCATATCTTATGTCAAATTTAGGGTGCTGTGTAGACATACCCTAAAAGTGGGGCAAGTTGTGGTGTTTAAAAGCATATCACTTGAAAGAAGGGCCGATGAAAAGGTCAGAGAGATATAGAGCATACCTGAACCATAAAAACTTGGGCCCTGATTCTGCAAAGACAAATTTATATATTTAACTTTGCAATCTGTAAATAGATCTGTTTATCTGATCAGGACCTTCTTTGTACAAGTAGTCTCAATAGTCAATGAATATGCTTACCCAGATAAATGCTCATCATCCTGAATAAGGGTGGCATGATTTGGCTCATAAAGTTCAATTTTCAAATAAAAGTTCAAAAGGAACTGTCATATTCTAAATCTTAAACATGTATTTTCAGAATTTTAATTGTGTTAAAGGATTTGGTTTTGGTACAGTCATCAAAAGTCACTACAGTCCTTTTTCAGTAAAATATATTTTAAACAACAGATGATGGACTGGACTGCTGGAAGGGGGAGGCTTATATAATTCTTGAGATCAGCCAGACCCAGTTAGGTCATATTGTTGTCAACTGACAAGATGGGTAGGCCAGATGCTGAGTCTCTGTTAGGAAGAGGAAGGAAAGTAAGGAAAAACATATATGAGGAATGGGAAAGGAAGGGGGGGGGACGGGGACGGAAGTGGAAGAATACTGAGAACTCTCTTAATTCTTTCTAAACCACTGCTTTCTCCCTTTCTCATCAAAAGGCGATCAATTCCAAATTCTATTCCACCAACATTTCAATTGTAATAGCAATTCAGCTGAAATAACAGAAATAATGCACTATACACTATTTAAAATGTATCATTATAAGAATTTGTGAATGATAATGGTGAAGTCACAAATCCCATGGAGAAGTAAGTGGGAGCTGTTTACTATAGAAATGCTAGATACTAAAGCCCCAGTTCATTTTTGTTTAGCAAAGCATCTAAAAATGTGCTTAAAAGCTTTACCAAACTGGGACTTCCAGCACTAGCTATAACGAAGTTCTACTTAGCTGAATAAAACAGTATAACAATATCATCCCTTTTTCATGCAAATGGAAGAAATGGGATGAGGAAGTCATCTCCAGTTTGACAAGCATACCTGGAGCGAGTAATATCCCAAATTATCCAATCATTTCCAGCAACTGCTCCAATTTTAAGGGTGTTTCTTAAACACCAGTGTGCTGACATCAACGGCATTTGTTCAGACTTGAGAGACAGAATGGCCTGCTGGGTAATGAGATCGTAGAATCGTATTGTTCCATTCTTCTCTGCTACCATCAACTGCAAAAGAAAGGAACACATGGATTTTGCTCAAACTTTGTAAACTGCATTTTTTCATAACTGGCCACAATTCAACTCTGTATTTCTAGGAATGGAAGGTGTGACATCTACCTTTTTGGAGTTGAAAAGTGGTCATCTATATTAACATTTTGGCAATACAAGAACCTAGCCACTTGTATTTAATGCAAGAACCTAGCCACTTGTATTTAATTTTCTGTAAGATGGGTGGGTAATTGGAGAAAGTTACATTAACTAATCCTTATCAATTCACGTGTTACACTATAGGCTTTTTCATGTATGCACAGCAATGGTGTAATCATGTGGAATGGCGTCTGAAGTATGAAGGGGGCATACAAATGTTTAGCCCAGTCGTCTCCAAACTTTTTACACCCAAGATCACTTTTTAAATGTCAGAACAAGCCAAGATCTACCGCCTCATCCTTCCCCCAAGACCCCACCCCTTCTTGAAGCCCCGCCCTCTATATTCTCCTCCTTTCCATCACTTGCTATCCCCAGCCTTTATACACTCTACACTGCTGCTTTTTCCCCTCGATTCTTCTGTAGGAAGAGGTTTTTCCAACATGTGGCCTGTCTAGACTTGACCAAATGTCAGAAAAACCCATTCTTTTGGAAGCCCCTTTATTTCTCGTGGAACGAGGAATACAGAGGTTACTGAAAGAGCATGTTTGCACTTCCACTAAAAAAAAGCGGAAGAACCAACGCGTCCCTGGACATGGAAGAGTTTTTCCGGGATATCTCTGGAATCCTGGAAAAACTCCTGCAGTCTAGCCGTACCCTCACTGGGTTGAGACAGGAT